CCTGTATTGCCATTTCATTTAGGGAAACACGTCATGTGAAGATGACAAAACTATAAACAGAGTATGCAAGTTGAAATGTAGGATTACGTTCAAGTAGACAGTTTGATTTAAACAAAATTTATATGCAGATAAAGATATGACGGAGGAAAATGTAAAAAGCAATGTTTTCCTAGTAACTATTTAGTGCTGGTAGAGGATAAAGAATGGCTGCTTCCTGGTTTCCTGGTAGCTACCTAATGCTCGTGGAGGGTAAGGAATGGCTGCTTCCTCACATTGTACTGTTACATAAATGCCATTTTTGGTGATTTGTGTTTTCATGAAAATTAGTCGATCTTCTAAGAAACCAAATTCGAAAGGAGGGGAAACCAATTACACATTCATGGCCTGTTATCTCCATCATGTAGCTGGCGACTGGCGAAAAGATTAATAGTAATTGACAAATATTTATTATTTATTTATTTCATTACCATTCTCGATAAGTCATTGGTAATTATTTTGCCAATTTCATAAGACTTGCCTCATAAATTGTCGTTTCTTTGAGAAATTTCCACATCACCTTTTTAATACAGTATCGATATATTATTTTGTTCTTCACACAATTAATTTTTTTTTCTTTTCTATAATTTACATAAATTTCAATCATTTATATTTTTTGCATGCTGAAATAGATGATATTTATGTATGTTCAATGTCAATAGGTGTCGATAGTACCATATAAATATTAATTTTATTATAAGCCAGTTTTTTGACGTTATTTAATGCGTAACCTGTCGTATATCGTTGGCCATGGCAAATGCTTTTGAATTTAGAGTACAGGCGTCCTCGGTGCTTGTTAAGTACAGTTTCGATATAACGCGGTACGAAGTTTGCAAATATTATAACATGGTTAGGATTAATCGTGTATTGCGGAAAGTCCGCCAGTTATAGAAGAATCCAGGCAAATAGCCGTAAAAAGGCGATTAGCTAAAGTCTAAGGGTTAAAAACGAAATACGCGAAATCTTGTGGACAAATACGAACCTTTAGGTCACGTGACAGAAGATTACCCTACTACTGTATTAAGTCCAAGTTACTTTATATCTCGTTATGGTAAGCAAAACAAAAGTGACTGCTAAATTGAGAGCGGTGTTTGAAGCGTCAACAATCACTTCATCTGGACTATGACTTTATGTAATCCAATCGAATCCTTTATGTACTAAAGCTGTGACTCATGGAATAGGGACTGCTCTAATACAAATTAACTTTGCATCAAGATCAATCTTTGTACGAATTCGCACTACACTTAGAGAATCGTTATATATTGCTTAGCCAGAATATTGAATCCTATGGTGCTCTTGCATCCAGTCGTTGTCACGGATAAAAATTTTCATTCGGCAATTATGAAAGCATGAATTGTTTTGGGAACCACAATTACTAAAATCTACTGCCAACCGTGGAACGCATCTCAGGGCCCATCTCAGCGATGTGAATAATCTTTAATACAAAGAAATGCTGCTTCTCAAGGAGAATGCCGCACCTTGAAACTGTATTCCTTCTCCGTCTCCGAAACGCTGCAATTTATTGGAGATCAATCACTAAATACCGGGAACCATTCTACTTTTGGAATTATGTGACACATTCTTGAAAACTCAGCTACTTAATCGCGTGAAGGAAGAAGTTAATTGACTCGACAAATCTTCTTTTCATTAGACTGATTCGGAAATGATTTTATCTCAATCTACCTAATTCCTCATATTCGTCGCCAAAAGACTTCGCACTCTCCGTGGCGACATGCACGTTTAAACGAGAATCCTGACAGAGAGTTTCAACTCTATGTAGAGGACTAATGCCTGCAGAGTTAAAAATGTTGCGCAATTTATTTGCACGACAGTTTTCCGAAGGACTTGGATGTTTGGCCTAATAAGTTAGACGAAACCGATCTACCAGCCGCAAATGTAAATCTACTTGCTTTCCAAGCAATGTTATTTCGAAACTCTGACGATACTTAGAGCGTCATTTTCAAGGTTAATCATAGAAACTCATTCTATCTATTAATGAGTATTGAAGCATATATATGACGTTTTCGGATTAACGTCAAACACGGCCCCAACAAATGCAATCGTAGCATTTTCTTATTGCCTACAGAATTGCAAAATTAACTGGTCATTATTATCAAGGCTATGTAGTTCGATTTTAAGGTAGGCTTAAAGGAACTCCAAAGGCATGAAAGTGTCAGTAGCATCCCTTTTTCGATGAAAACTTAATTATTTGATTTGGTGGTCGGTTGCAGTCAGCAGCCATTTATTACGATGATTAACATCGAAGATTGTTACCATATAATGATGTACTAGCTAAGGTTCTAACGGTGCAACTACGCGAAAGTTGTTTCCATTGCAGTCGAAATCAAGGGTATACTAATACCATCAATAGTGCAACATTGCGCCAGAGGTTTCAGATCCAAGCCAATAATAATGAAAAAAATTATGGAAGGTCTTCCTTGGCATAAAATACAACCTGCTTGATCTTTCCTTAAAGAGTTCGTTTTTACGACCCTTTCTGGTTCACTTCAAGATACGAGAAAAAAACCAATAAATGTTTATGCAGTGGTATTTTGTTGCTTTGCTGCAAAAGCTGAACACGTTAAAGTGTAACTGGGACTTTCTTACGATTTCTCAAACGATTCATCGACAGGCGCAGACGTTGTTAGAATCCATACTGTGACAATGCATCAAACCTTATCGGTGCTAGAAATTGGTTGATGGATTTGTCAAAAAAGTGGGATCGATTTATATTTCATTTCGCCAAGGGTTCCACATTTCGGTGTCCTGTGGGAAGAACCCGTCAAATCTGCCAAAAATTTGTCTGCTCGCGGTGTGTGCAGTGCTGCATTCACGTACGAGGAATTAGAACCTCTAGTGATAGAAATAGAAGTCGTGCAAAACTCATGTGCGTTCCGATATCAGAAAACTACAATAATGAGTGCTTTAACGCCGGACCACTTTTGGATGGACGAGCCCGTCACAGCATAGGCTGATCTTAACGTACATTCCAGTAACAAGAATCTGAGTATATAGTAGAACATGGTTTCCCATCTGAGGTCAGAGTTCAGGAAACGATGGCCATTTGAATGCCCAAACGGACTTCAATATCGTACATATGGAAGCACCATGCAGAAAATGCAAAACCCAGTACAACGACCATAATAAAAGCAAATAATATCTCACCACATCAGTGGGTACTAGACAGCGGACCAGTGGGAGTAGTGGGTGTTAGAACAGCTAATGGTTTCTGCAAACTTCCTGAGAATCGACTAGTCTCTCTTTTAGTTATGGACGCGCGATACTCCGATCCCAGAAGATGCGATGTCCGTCGAACTAACGCCTAGTTCCCCATAAAAGAGATGCAGGTAAACATTAACATATGTAGCACAAATATCACTAGACTCTCCCTAAATTAAGCGGGAATCATTTGTCTCAGTCACGGATATATAGCAGGAAATGATCACTCACTTTCAAGGCACTACACTCAATCACGATATCAATTTTTTTTGTGAGCATACGTCAGTCAACTCAATTATTAATTGTTGTCAGCTTCTCTGTGGAATTCCAACGCATGGAAGTAAACTATCAAACACACTTTAAAGATCCGACCCAAGAAAAAAATATATTAAGGGGACAGCAGATTCCTCAAACTCCAACATGAAAGATATTAGAACTTCGTGATGACAAAAGGGGCATTGATTTTGGCGTTCATTGCTTTAGTCATCCTTTTGGCACATAGAGTTTGGCAACTCTGCTCGCACTGTGGTCATATTTTCTACGTTGTGTGCAGAAATTTTGTAATTTCCTTTTTTTTTTTTTGTTATTGCTTTGTTGCGTTGTACGATTTTAAAGACTAAGCAATTATAAAAGTATTAAAGTTTATTGAAATATATTGAACTTTTTGTGTTAATAGCATTTTGGGTTTCACGATCATCACTTGGTTCTCCCGTTGAAAAATCTCTTTCTTATATTTTGTGTATTGTTGCCTCCGAGTAACTGCGTTGGTGTGCGGCGCTTACAGTTTTCCCCTTTGTTTAATGTGTTTTTGATAGTGTGAAGTTTGCGTGTAATTTAAAAGATCAATTTTGAACACATGATAACCTTTTTTGTTCCTTTTTTTTACAATCTCTCTGCGCAAGTCGCACGAGCTGCATAATTAATTTTATTTTATTTAATAGATATCAACGGTTATTTAAATTTTGTTAATATCCAGAAAAATTTTTGACAATTGATTTCCGAATAAAATGTCAATAAATGGTTTTGCTAATGTCCAAAAAAAAAACTTGCTATTGTCTTTAAAAGGAATTTAGTCTCAAATTATGTCCTTTTAAACACAGTCATATCTGGTCTTTTCAGCTAGTTAACTAAACGATACATAATCAATGTCAATATTTTCCAATATCTTGTTAAAAATTGAAACTACGACATTTATGCAGCCTTTTGTGTTTCTGTTGTCAATAGCAGCAATTACGCTGTCAATTAGTAGCCATTTGCCTGCTTGCTTTTTCATCCTCATTGATTATAAATTTTGTTAATAGTTACATGATATGACATCACACTCTACCAAACGTTTGCAAAGCATTTACAATGCTGTGGTTTTAGGTGAACATGAACTACGGCATACAGGCCAATGTATATGTACGAAAAAAATCGAGCAATACAGAGGTAAGAAATATGATTTGCTTTCCTTTCATTATGCATTTGGTATTAAAAAATTATAAATTTTATGTTCGCAATGCTTCAATAAATTTCAGCAAAAATATTCTATGAAGGTACTTTGTACTATTTTATTCTATATTCTAGAGAATAATCTGCAATATATTTGAAGGTATGGAACCAATCCAATAAAATAAATAGCTAATGTGCCGTGTACAATAACTCATATGTTATGTGCATGCAAATAAAATTAAGAACTGTGTGAATAATAAGCAAATTAGATGAAGAAAAATTGTTCTTACAAAATAATTTTTTTAATAATAAAAAATTCTTCCATATTTTTTAATATGAAGATTTTCATTGAAATGTATTGAAGCAACTAGTGAATATACAATTTAAAATTATTAAATACCAAATAAGCCATGAAAGAAAAAAAAATCACACTTTCTACCTAAATTACTTAATTTCTTCGTATATATATATCTATAAAATATTGTCGTTCTTTATACAATATTGCTTTCCCCTTATTCTTCAAAATAAACTGCAGTGAAAAAAGCTATGACGATAGTGATACGTAATGAAAAGAAAGAGATTATCTTTCTTCGTCGTTGAAACAAACGAAAGTTAGTAATCACGGCACTAATTATATATCATTTAGTTAACTAACTCCATTTTGGACGGCGTAGCTTGTGGAACATTTAGTTCAGAGTTATGTGTAGCTTTCGCAGTTCAAAGTTTATTTCGAAAAAATAATCGCAAAATAAAAAATAGATTTGACGTCTGTTGGTTTATAATGGCACAATCAATAATAAAAGAGTATAAACGTAAATAAAAATAAGGCTGTATAATATTTTTGACTATGTAAAATTACGTGAAATACTTTTAACAGGAAAAACAAAAAGAAAAACCGAATACTTACACATATTGTGGGCGATGCAATTTCCTAAAATTCGAATGAGTTGTGGTTAATAAAGTGCAGGCAATTTTAATCGTAAATATATAATTTTTACCCGTCCCAAGAAAAATCTCCGATAATTCCCTAACATTCATGATCAAAAAATGTTCAATGTGGAAGAGAAAATTGCGCGAACCAATAAACAAAAATAAGCAGTAGTTTAATATCGAGAAAAATAACAAAATGTAAGTTTTTCTTTAGCTACTTCCATAAATCCTTTCCAGTAGTCATTGGTGCTTGCAGATCAATTATAAATGGGCGCAATGCTATGCGGAATGGCGAAAAGTAAGTTCTCAGAAATTGTGCTAACATTTTGCATTTATTTTATTTTTACCTCGTTTTCAGGTCTGTGGCCCGCAAATACGAGGGTCTGTGGCTGGCGTACAAACAAAACCGCGGGCCTTACCGTCCTTAAGTGGAACACAACCATGAGTACAATTGTAAAATAAATTGGTGAATTGTTTTTTATATATGCTGAGAAGCCCTCACGTGATAGATTGTGGCGCCGAGAATAGAATTCCAAGTAGGGAACGAAAGTGAGTATATATAAGTAATTTTCATTTCTTCAAATACTTATAACCATATAACCCATTAGGGAGCACATTGAGAGTGGTCAACGATACAACGAAAAACAGTCGCAAAATCAACAGCGAGTGGTGGAGGTGATAACCTTATTAGACTAAGGAAGACTTTACGTCGTTCCATCTTAACAAGCTACCGCTAGCTAAGGAAGAGAACAATTTAATTCGATCGCGTAAATTCGATAACCAAGATTCAGATTAAGTTAACTCAATTTTCTCATATATTTTCATTCATTTTTTGCATTGTGAACTTGAACTTTGAATTTGACCCTTTTATTTTATATATAAATCTAACTATAATGAATATATAGTGTTTTAAAGTATAGTAAATTTGTTTTTTTTTTAATCAGTTTCTGAAAATTGAAATAAACTCCAACTCTTGTTGGAGTCATTAAAGTGGATTTATTCCTTCTGTTTTTTATTCCAATATAACTCAGAAGATATGCCGGTTCTTATTTATTTATTTATTTTAATTCTACTTATACATGAAACATAACCAAACAAATAACAGTCGAGTTCAATTGGCACTTAAAGCAAAACTTATATTAAATGAATAATAAAACTTAGTGTAGGTACAATAAAACAAATAAGAAGGAAAAAAAAAAAAGAAAAAAAGCATGTACACAACCAGCATAGAGCCATACTTACAACCGATACAGGACCAAATTGCAAATGAACGCCGAAGCCATCGCAAACATGCAAAAGCCTGGCAACCGATAATACTTAACAACAATTCATCTTCCAATCGTAACGATTTTTAAGGATAGAAGATAGTTTAAGTAAGACATAGGTAAATCGCGCGTATTAAGCTATGTTGCTTTAATGGACTTTAAAGATTCCGATAACGAGAATAAGTGACAGACGTCATTTAGGTTCTTGCAAACTACTCTGAGCGGATTAAACAGCTCATAATTCTATTTACACTGACTAAGCTTAACCAAGATAAAGTGCCTAGAGAAGCGGTTAGGGACATTAAAGCTTATTTCACCAAGTAATGAAGGCGAGTCAATAGCACCATTTATTACTTTGATTACAAAGGAGACGCCAAGAACAAACCTATGTTTATCAAGAGACGCAAGGACAGCAGAAGCAACCTATTTTCATAGGGAGGAAGAGAGGCAATCAGATCCCAACCCAAATTTCTAAGGGCAAACACCAAGAATTGCTTTTGAACAGATCCAATTGAATCTACACAGCACCTATATGAAGGAGACCACACAACAGAGGCATACTCGAGTAGGGGTCTAACCAAACACATGTACAGCCTTTTCGTAATGTAGGGATCATCAAGCTCTTTGGATCATCTCTTTATAAAACCAAGCGCGGACCTAGCTTTGCTTATCGAGAGCTCAATATGCAAGTTGAAACGTAGTGATAGTTGGTCCACAACTGTAGATTGGGGAAGACTTCTTCAAGATTTATTGATGAGTTGTAATTGTATGACCAAGGCGAATTCTCGAAAATGTTTGGATCTTGGTTTTCTCAACATTTGTTGGACATAAAAGTGGAGTTAATTGAGTCAGTCTGGCAACTGACGCGCGCGAGATCGTACGCTTTTGTTAGTTTTATTGCTAAAATTTTTTTGTTTTCGTTTTATACGCGTTTAAAACTGGGTTTATGTAAAAGTATAAAAGGTTTCAACGTGTAAAGTGTAAAAGTTCATTAATTACGTTAAAATTTTTGTGATTTTCGTTTTGGTTCTTGCGATTAGCCCTTGTGATCGCAATAGTAAATCTCTTTCGAGTCATTTCTAGTTTTTTCTTTTGAGTTTTTTTTATTTTTTTTATTTTCTTCCTTTGGTGTGAATAGCTTTTCTCTTGGCTTGTTTACCGTTGCTTTAGTAGCGTAGATCTTACTTGTAATTTAAGAGAAAATTTAAGAGAAAATTTTTCTGATTTGTATTCTCTCTTTTTTTCGTGCTTCCAGTTTGGTTTTGCTTTGTCTTGTTCTTTTGCTCTCTTGTTACAGTGACAACGTAACGGAGAAGTTTTATTAAATTTCTTATATTTGTAGATAAACTTAGAGTAGTGGATTCTTTTGAATTTTTTTCTTTTTGGTCCTAATAATTCACTTCTTTCTTTTCGTTGACTTGACATGGAGTGCTTATATACACCATGTCGCGCAAAAACAGTCCCGGAATCGGATAGATTCGTTTCTTGTTGGCTCTGCGAGCGCTTTGGTCATGCAAATGCATGAGAATGCCGGCATTCTCGGCCATGCTGCTGACGCAGTCGCTGATCCGTCTAAAGGCTTAAGATGGTCATATCCTGACTGTAGGCAGCGGTACATTGTCTTTTATAAACTTTTCACGGAGACCCGTTATGGTTTCTCGGAATTGAGTAGAAGTCTCGGCTGCTTGTGGGAAAAGTTTGAGCTCATTAAGTCTAGGTTTGATGAGTGTCGCTTTATTGGACACTCATCTTCTACTCGTAGCGTAGCGTGTGGGACGTCACCTCTGGCTTTCTCCAAATCTAATTCATTGGTACAAGTTACCGCTCCCTCTAACTCTAAAATGAACAGTAATGTTTCCGATATTGCTGAGTTGGTTGGTGGAAAAACAGTTACAAACAAACCGGCAAGTCCATCGGTTTTAAGCTACGCTGAAGTGGCAAGGGTATCTCCGCCCAGAGCCGCCACTCACTCTAATCAAGCGCCGTCGCCTAAAAGTAATGAAGAGAAAAATAAATCAGCCTCTGTTCAAATGTGAACGCTGGTCACCAGACTGGCCAAGTCGCACAAGCTGCTGGTGCAAGGGCGATAACGCCATCTATATTCTCCCCAACTCTAAACTCCCCAACCGTGAACCCTCCTGTTCCAAGTAATGACATTTGCTTGAGGGCAGTTCCTCCCAAAAAAGCAATATTTGTGTCAAGACTGGCACCTGAAACATCGGTGGATAACATAAAAAGTTATCTGGCGACGAAAGTCCCGTCAGTCAACTTAAAGCGCGTTAGCATTTTCAAAATGGCTCCTTCTCAATCTAGGGCAATCTCCTCTTTTAAAATACTAGTTCCGACAGAAAACAGTGATATGTTGTTAAACAAACCATTGTGGCCAGTAGGATCCTTAATTAAGGAATTTATCTCTCGAAATCGTCCCCTTAATACCAAAGCAATAGACTTGTCGCCTTCAAAAAACTAAATGTTTCTTTAGGCTCAATATCTCTCGTTCCTCAAAATGTTAGGGGCCTTAATTCAAAAATTCGTTCTACTTTTCTAAATTCATTCAGCACGGAGTTTTTCTGTATTGCCTTCACCGAAACTTGGCTAAAATCCAATCTTCATTCGTCGGAACTTTTCCATAGTTCGTTCCAGGTTTTCAGAAAGGATCGAGTGAATCGTATTGGTGGGGTTGTTTTAATTGCCATATCTGCATCAGTCCCGTCCAATTTAATTGAATTTCCCACTTCTCCTGACGTTGAATTTATTGCCATTCGTGCGATAATGCCTAGTAAACAGCTATTTGTTAACTGCTCTTATATTCCCCCAAATTCTGATATCTCCATTTACAAGAAACACGCTGCCCTCATTTGTGAAGTGGCCAAACGGTCTAGACTTAACGATTTGGTCGTTGCATTGGGTGACTTCAACTTGCCTCAAGTCACTTGGTGTAACAGTGATAATTCTGGCTGGTTTGATTCCTACTTCAACGTCTGATAGGATTGTTGTGCTCTTTAATGAATTGTTTGATCACAATTTGGTTCAATATAATCGTACCCCTAATTGTAATTGATCTCTGCTTGGCCAACTTTCCTGAGATTAAGGCAAATCGTTGCCCACGTTTTAGTTTACCTGAGGACCCTTATCATCCATTAAAGTGCATTTCCTTTCAACATGTGAATGATGGTTCGTTGAACTGCCTTAATGTGCCAAATCAAACTTTTTTAAATATATGTTATGATTTTCATAAAATCAATATTGTATTGCTAAAACATCGTCTTTCACATATGAGGCTTGATTTCTCAAACGGATATATTGAAAGCTTATTGTGATCGTTCTACAATATATTACATCTAGCTATTGCTGCATCTGCTCCGATTAAGCAGTGCCGACCTCGAAGCAGGTGTCCCCCTGGTTTAATAAGATAATTAAATATTACAAGAGTAGAAAAAGCACGCTATTCAAAAAATATTCGAAAAGTGGCTCTGCGCTCGACTATTTCGCTTACTCGGTGGCGAGGCATAGATTTAACTCCCTCAACCACTATTATTACTGCAGACACCTTCAGTTCATTAAATCTTCTCTGTTTGCTAATCCTAAATACTTTTTTAAATTGCTTAACTCTAAAAGAAAAATTTCCACATATCTCGCTCATGTTTCTTTTAATGGCTCTGATTCCTCGGATGATTTTAAATCTCAAATCTGTTTGCTGAGGATTTCCGACGAAACTTTTTTGTTGCTAATTTCGATTTATCAGCAAACTACCCATATCCTATAACTAACTCTGTCTCAATTCCTAACTTGGTAATTTCGGAAGATGACGTTTTTGAAGGAATGAGTCCTCTAAAATATTGTTTTGCGTCAGGACCTGATGGAATTCCATCTTGTGTACTTAAATCTTGCGCTGTCGAGTTATGTGGTGTGATCTCAAAGATTTTTAACATGTCCTTGTATTTAGGTGTTTTCCCTTCATGTTGGAAGAGTAGTTTCCTTGTTCCTATCCACAAGAGTGGAAGTAGACAATTTGTTGAGAACTACAGAGGCATAGCCAAGTTGAGGGTCTTGCCCAAGTTGTTCGAGCGAATTGTGGCTCAGCACTTGGCCTCTGCCATTAATTCGTATATTTCTTCGCACCAGCACGGCTTTCGGAAAGGGCGATCTACAGTCGCTAACTTGTTAGAGTTTACTTGTCACGTTTTCAAGGCTTTTGCTAGTGGCTCTCGCACAGATGTGATATACACTGATTTAAGCAAAGCGTTTGATATGGTTAACCATAACTTACTTATCTTTAAACTCCAAACCTCTGGCTTCACTTTCTATTTAGTGAAATCTCTCTTATCTGCACAACAGATCCTTCAGGGTTTTGTTCAACTTCATCACCTTGGATGAATTCCCCGTTATGTCTGGCGTACCTCAAGGAAGTCACTTAGGTCCCATTTTATTTAGTTTATACATTAACGATCTCCCATCGGTGGTTAATTCCAGTCAGATCTTAATGTATGCGGATGATGTGAAACTGTTTTCTTCTTTCTCTGTTAAATCGCAATCACATCAGCTTCAAGGTAACTTGGATAATTTTGTTGCATGGTGCTCTGTGAATCT